AGGTTTTTTTTTGCCTGATGAGATTTTATAAAACTGACGTAAATCTTGCTCGCAGCAAATAGCACAATAGTGTCTATAGAAAGCAAAGAGTACAAAAGAGTCACTTCTTTCGTAAAAACTAAAATTGTTACATTAAAATAATAAAAGAATGAAAAAATTACATATTTTGATTGACGCTTTTGGTTTTTTCCTAAAAATATTTTGAAATTTCAGGACTTTTGCAAAAGTTACAATATTGAGAGAAATTAAACTTTAGTATGTGAAGTTTTTAAAATGACAATAAGTGATTATTACTTTTAATAAGTTTTTGAAAGTAGACATTTTGAAAAAGTTATTTAATAAAATTAAAACATTTTAAATTTTAAATTAAAACATTAAGTTATTTAATAAAATTAGCAAGGGTTTAAAACTTTTTCATTTTTAAATTTTTTCTGGAGTTTATTTAGTTATATACACCCTCGTTATTCAGTTATCATGTACGCTTTAATAGATTAAAAAAATACTGGTTATAAGAATATAATTAAGTAATTTTACTAGCCTTTTGGTTGGTAAAATTTTACTAGCCTTTTGGTTAGTAAACTTTATTTAACAAACTTTTCTGAGAAAATTTACTTCATACAAATAATATTTGTATAAAACAAGTAAAATTTATTTAGGAAATGGTAAATGGGTACAATAAAACTCAACTCCATTTGTTAAATAAAGACGGAATGAAGGATGATTACGCACTTTTTTTAAATGCAAAAACTTAAAAAATATACGCAATTAAATTGTATAAAAAATTATATTTTTTGTCAAAATAATTAATCATCATTTAAGAAGAATTGTTGTTCTAACAATATTTCTAAACTTATAAGTCAATTTGTATTATCTGCAATTTTTTAACACAGTTTCTGTTTCCACAACTACAAAAAGAGTCTTTTATATGTCTCCACTCTTGTTAAACTTGTTACAAGACTATCTCATGAAAAGCCTAATGTTGCTGTAAAATTACTAAAGTATTCAGTTTAGTTTAAGAAACAATCTGCAAGCAACAATAGTAAGTATTTAATACTTTTTAGCTTATTATGGTCCTCTACTATGTGTAGCTCCACAAAAATTGGTCCTCTACTATGTGTAGCTCCCCAAAATATTTTGTTCACTTACTCTTTTGTAGTTTTTTTTTTTTTTAATATTTGTGAATATATACATTTCCATATATATATATATATATATATATATATATATATATATATATATATATATATATATATATATACATATATATATATATATATATATATATATATATATATATATATATATATTATATATATATATATATATATATATATATATATATGTATATATATATATATATATATATATATATATATATATATATATATATATATATATATATATATATATATATTAGCTAGCTTAAAGTTAATTATCTAACGCAGTTATATGTCTGAACTTTAGTGATACAAGGATAATTGCATGCATAACCGGAAATCTAAGCTTTCTTATCTTTGCTTCAAAATTATTTTTTCGCTTCTTACTGAAAGAAATCTTATAATTCATCATCATCATTAGGTTGATATAAATAATTGGCTCCATCATTTTCACCACTAACTAGACTGATTGTAATTCAAAAACGTAAATAATTAGGTCAATTTGAATTTTTCTTTTACCACGTGTATTGCTTTCATTCATACAATTAAAAAAGTTTGATAAATTTTTTATTTTGATATTTCGATGCGGTTAAGATTTTAATGAAATAAAAGAAAGTAAACAAAAACCTCAGTTAATTGTTAAAGTACAACTAATTCCAGTGTATGTACAGAAATATGGAAAAATGAAGCGAATTCCAGCTTTACCTTTTCAACATTTTTCAAATATCAATAGTTTTTTGCGTGTTTATTTTATAAGCTAAGGAACAAGAACAAAAAATAATTTAAAATATGCTTTGACTTCACAGTTTTTATGATTATGTTATTAAGGGATTTAATAAAATATTCAAGTATAAGTTATTTTAAAACAGTTATAATAATTAAGCTTTTTTAAAAAAATAGTAGTTTAGACTCGTTAGTCTAAAGTAAAAAATGTTCACAAAGTTAAGTTTCGACAGTATTTTTTAAACTAAATTTAATTTTTAAAAGCCTAATTTGTGTATTAAAATGTCTAACTATATTTTATTTAAAAAAAAATAATAATTAGTGAACTTTAACTCAATCGAAAATATCCTTGCATTTTCTTTGCTTGTGATGTCGTGCAAATTGCTTGATCAACTATATATTTCTTTCTAACTGTATATTTTAAATTTACAAACTATATTGTCTTAAAAAGACGTCTTTTGAACGTTCATAAGACGTCTTTTTAGGACCAAATGCCGGCTAGATTATTAATATACTGTTCCAGTAAAAGTATCAAATCTGTTTGATTATTTGCTACTCTACTAACTCTGTACTCATCACGTGAGATCACGCGATGAGTACAGAGATCTCATACTCTATCGCCTCTGTTTTATGTGGATGTTTATGATTTTTCTTTTGTGGATAAAGCTAATTCTGGTGGGTGCTATAAAATGTTAAACATTTTTCCTTTTTACCCTAGATTATAATTTTGTGCTTTAAAACAATCAATTATTTTAACGGTCACAAGACAATGTGGTGTTACATCCCCTAAAAAGTAATAAATTTATTGAATGAAATAAAATTTAAAAGATTTTTTTTGTTGAAATATTAGCAATTATTGTCGGCGTTTATAAGCAGATATGTGTGGCTTTTGTTGTGTTTTTGATTTTTATAATCAAATCATTTTTAGTTTTTAAATATACTTTAATTGTATTGTTGTTTATTTATAATTTAATAAAACAGCAATTTTATGTTTTTAAATTGTTTACGTTAGTTAAAAGTATTACTTTTTACTAAATAAAATAATATGTGAAACAATTTATTTTCAAAATGCTTTAACTATTTTGTTTATTTGCCTTTCATTACCAAGAGATGCCAATCAAGGTAGTCTCTAAGGTAACCATTTTCGTTCTTATAACTCTGAAACACAACCTTCATGATCAATGCTGCTGCGAAGAAAAACATGTTTAACCCTATCTAACCATAAACGAGCTTTAGATTAAATTTAGTACTTCTTGTTTTGAAAACAAGCTTTTATTCTGACAACTAAGATATCATTAATTTGAAAAAAATATTTTCACTTTAAGGAAAGTCACAACTTTACACCGTTAAAAAGCATTAAAAAGTTAAATTGATTTTCAATTAGTAATTTTTTAGAGGATATTTCAAAAATGTCATTGAATTTCAAATTTAGATAATAAAAATACGTACTTTTAAAAATAAAATATTTTTTTAACTTATTACCCTTATTTACAGAAAGGGTAAACTTTTTTGGGGGTATTTCTGTACCCAGTCTACAATCATCACGAATATTTTCGCGAACCATTTTCATTTGACATAAGCATGAACATAACTAAACTTGAAGTTTACACAATTTTTTTAAGTGTCCTATCTGAAACGTCAATATTCCTAAGGCTTATTATTATTATTGTTGTTATAATAAATGTTTTTCCACCCAAAAATATGAAAAGAGGTATTTGCAGATAATAGGCAGCAGTAATAGATGTTATTATTGTCACGTTTATATACATATTTTGTTTATAAAAATGAAAACATTCTTATATATATATATATATATATATATATATATATATATATATATATATATATATATATATATATATATATATATATATATATATATATATATATATATATATATATATATATATATATATATATATATATATATATATATATATATATATATATATATATATATATATATATATATATATATATATATATATATATATATATATATATATTATATTTAAACAATTTAAAATGTATTCTACAAAAAGAGTGCTCAATGTTCTTAAAAGAACAGAGCAATTACAAATTAGTAGAAAATCACTTAGTAAATTTTTTTTCTGATGAGTCTTTATTGATGAAACACAGTGTTAAATGAGAAAAAATTTTGCTAAGTGATTTTCTACTAATTTATATATATATATATATATATATATATATATATATATATATATATATATATATATATATATATATATATATATATATATATATATATATATTCAATTTAATAAACAAAATATGTTTATAAACGTGACAATAATATCAGTTGTCATTAGAGTCTATAATTTGTTTTCACTTTAATTGCAGATAAACATGTTTCAATAAGTTCTAAACAAACTTATATACAAGAAAAATATATATATATATAATTAAAATATAATATAAATTAGATTAAACTATTTTGCATTTTGAATCTCGCGTTTGTAAAAGTATGTTTTTATATATAAAAACTGTAATTCATTCAAAATAGATATTGTTAAAGTTTAATCTTTATTGCTTAACGAAATGTTTGTTTTATAAAAATAAATGCTTTGTCTTTTAAATGACATCACTATAAAAAATATTTACTTAAGTATCTATAGCGCTATTTTAAAAATTAAAACATTTGTTACGCAAAACACCTAATAAGGAATAATTCGTTGTGACGACTTAGGGATTAGCGGATAAAGAAACGAATGCAACCGAAAAAAAAATTTTAATTGCGTCATAGCGTGGATTTATTTTCATTAACATTTTAAATAAAACTAAACTACTATTTTTTCAACACAGCTGACCACGAATAATTATATTAAAGTTTAACCAATCAAGAATTTTTATTATTTTATAAGCCAATAGGATTGAGAAACCTAATAAAAGTCCGTCTGATAATAAATCATTACTCATACTCCTAAAGTCATCGAATAGATTTGTGAAAGAGCAAAAATAGAAAAGAAAAACACCATAGAAGAATTTATAATAGAGAAGAGTGTATTGTTCGTAAAACACGTCAACGAAGACATTCACTGAATAAAGTGTTCATATTTTATATTTGTTATGTCACAGGTTGCTTTTTACGATAGATTGGTAATGAGCCAACAAAATTACGACAAAAGTGCACTGAGCCTTAATTTAAACGGAGGCAGATCAGCAGTAAGTAGCCGAAAAAGAAAATTTTTGCAGCCATCAGCTGCTCTTCTTCAAAGTCCCGATTTAAAACTTTTAAAACTTGGTAGTCCAGAGTTAGAAAAGTTAATTATTCAAAATAATGGATTTATACCCACTCCAACAATCGGAAATACAAGTTTTTCTCAAGTAGGGGATCATGTAGAAGATCAAGAAAGCTTTGCACGAGGTTTTATTGAAGCACTTCAAAAATTACAACAAGAAAACGATGTTAAAGACTCTCCGTTAACAAAAGCATGGAATTTTTCAAGAATCAGTAACCTAAATCAGACTGCTATTTCATCATCTTTACCAACTTATCAACAAATTACAGCAAGTAATAGCTTGCCTAATGTTTCAAAATGGGGTCAGGTTGATCATAATTTAAATACTGTTCCTGTAATTACAGCTAATGGCAACCATTATGATAACCAGTCGCAACTAAATTCAATAAAATATTCTACAGCAACATCAGTAGATGTTGCTTCTACAATTGGTTTGGATTCATTGCCAAAATCAAATTACTACATTTCAAAATCTCAGCAATGCAATATTGAAAGAACTTCTCATTCTAAAATAAATTCAGACTTATATCCTCCTTCAAATAACTCGTTAGTTTCTGAAATAAAAACTGAAGATGATATGCCACCATCTGTGGGTTCTTCAACTTCAAGTGTAAATCTTGAAATGAATCCTATTGATTTAGATGCACAAGAGCACATAAAACATCAAAGAAAAAAGTTAAGAAATCGATTAGCTGCACAAAGATGTCGTAAGCGTAAAATTGAACGTGAAGAAACCTTAAAACTAAAAGTTAAAGAATTAAAAAATAAAAACTCTGAACTAACTAATCTTGCTAGCAAGCTTAGAATGCAAGTTTGTGAACTTAAACAGCAAGTAATGCATCATGTTAATGAGGGTTGTCAAGTATTTTATAAAGATGCAGATCTTGATAGTTAGTAATCCTTTATGTATTTTTTGACTTTTTAAAAAGAAACATGTTGAAGTATATTTTTGCTAATAGGAGACTTTGTAGTACGTGCTAATAATTACGTAGAAGATTATTTAAAAGGAGTGTTTTAAGTTCCAATACATAGATTGTATTATTATTTATACAATATAGTAAATACTATTAAAAACGAAGAACAAAAGAATTTGCAATATGTTTTTATCTTTGAATTCCTTATTTATCAATTATTTCAATTTTTTGTTGGAATTACTGTTTTGTTCATGTTAATTTGCTTTTTCTGAACTTTTTTATTTAAAATTACAATAATAGTTTTCTTCTTTCAAATGTTTTTGAAATTCCGATTTCATTAACTTTTAAATTTATAATTATGAAAAAAAGTTATATTTGACTTGCAATAAACTGAAAATAGCAATAAAAAGTTGCAATTTAAAAAAGGTTTGCTAACTTTTCATGTCTTTGTATTTTAGTATATATTGGTTGTACATTTTATACAAAACATTTTTTTATTTATAGGTGTATCCAATTTTTATTTTTAAACATTTTTTTTTTAATTTAGGATTCTTTTTTTAAGTTTTGTTATAAATGTTGGATATATTTGTGCTTTTTTTATTTTCTTTTTTCTGTTACAATTTTTATACATACACTTTGAAGAGTTTATTAAAAGAGATTTGTTTATATGAAGAGAAAAATATGCAAGTTTATTTGCGACTATTTATGTATTAAAGAAATCGAAATTAAAATTCGTAAAATACTTGTGTTTTTTTAAATTTCCATTGGGAATAACTACTAAACGGAAGCAAGGAAAAAATCTGCTTAAATTTTTCATCAAGGAACTATATCACAATTAATATTTAAAATGCCTTGTGCAATTTATCTTGGTTTATTCATGTGATTTGACGGATTGATAATTCAAATGAGAGCGTATCCTTTCTTCGATGCATTATTAAATTCTTTGTTACAAGTTCTTCTAAAAAATTCATTAGAGGCTATAGTTTTAAATAAGACGTTTTCATCCAGGAAGTTATTAAAGAATATAATTACGTTTTTATAAGATAATCGTCTAATGGGTTGCTCTATATAACGAATAAATAATTTGATTATAATACTTCCTTGTTCGTTAAATAATCTTGTTTATATTTATCGGATTTTTTTAGAAATATATTGTATAAATATTTTTGTCGGATACTTAAAGGTTCTTCATAAAAATTTTTTTTGTTTGTACAAAGCAAACATCAAATGAAATTTTTATCATTTTTAAGTTATTTATTTTTCTTTGGGTTGATAAGTTATTGAACATAATAAAGTTTTGAATCCTAGATCACAATCATTAAACTTGGTTTCTTAACCATGGTAAAAAAGCAGCTAGAATAGATTTATATATATATATATATATATATATATATATATATATATATATATATATATATATATATATATATATATATATATGTATATATATATATATATATATATATATATATATATATATGTATGTATATATATATATATATATATATATATATATATATATATATATATATATATATATATATATATATATATATATATATATATATATATATATATGTATGTATATATATATACGTTTTACATTTGATGTTTTTTTTTTTTTTTTGCCTATTATTGTAACTATATCGAGTTTTTTTTTTTATTATTATCTTTGATGGGCTGGCTTACTTATTTACTGGATATTTTAACAAAATCAGATTCAAGATAAGAAATTATGAGTTATCTCTACGCAAAGCTAAAAAAGCTGGTTGACCATTAAGTAATAAGGTTCAAGCCTTATCGACTTTTTAGTCATATTATATTGTATTATATTTCAATACATGGTACCAGTCATTAATAAAATAGTACGCAATATTAGCGTATTATTTTATTAATGACAGTTTTATTAATATTTTTTATCTTGCTGCAACTTTGTTTTTGGAAATATAGTTTACCTCTTCATACACCATCTTATTCTATTTTACTCATTTTTATTTGAGGTACTTCAAAATTCCAGCATACCCCTAAAAAATATTTTAAGTTTATAAACAAGATATAAATGGTAAATTTTAATCATGAAAACTTTGCTTTAATCAAATAACCTAACATAGAACCAGCGTTGACTAAAATGCAATAAACTAAAACAAAGTTAGAAATAAAAATAGAATAAGACTATACTTAAGTAAAAAACTTAGTACTAACTTTTTTTATTAACTTTTTATTTAATTGCACTAATAATAAATTTACTACCGTGTACTACCGTCAATGTTTTTTCTAATACCTCGATGACATCTAAGTCATCGATTTCCTTAACAAAAAAAAAAAAAGAGACTATACTGGCAATATAGTCTAATACTGGAAAAGACTAATGTGGCAAAAAAAAAAAAAAAATGAAAGATGCTTTTAACAAACAAAAAAAGAAAGTTTAAGTAGCCTTCCCTTAAAGCATATATTAATCAAATGCCCAAGCATTTAATTAATTCATGCTTTCGTATATTTGATTAATTTACGCATTTATGTGGTTGATTAATTTATGCATATATGTATTTTAATAATTTATACACTGATGTTTTTGATTAATTTATGCATATTATATTTAATTATTTATTAAAAACTTGTTAGTGCATTTTTTTCCTAAACTTCCAATTGAAATATTTAAATGTCTGTTGACCAACGGTAAAATTGGCTGACACAAAATAAATGGTTCAAACGCTTGACAACTAATGGTAGAGCTAAATAAATGGTAGAATTGTATGACATCTAACATGCGTTTATTATGACCCCTAACTTTGTCTATTACCATAAATTCTAATATCTAAAATTGTCGATTGGTTAACACTGAAATCATTGAATTTTTATATTTAACATAGAAAACTGTTTGAGATCTAATTACTAATAGAAGTAATGACCAAAAAAAGTTACAGAGAACACTGCAAAATGCTAATATTAGGCAGAACCTGTACTGTTAAAGTATACTGTAGTATTTTAGCATAGTAGTATATAGCATAGTAGTATAGAATAGCATAGTAGTATATAGTAGCATAGTAGTATATGCTACTATATAGTAGTACATGTAGTATTTTATACAAAAGTTAATGTTGATAAACTAAATCTTGCACAGAAAACGATAAAATAGTAATAAAAATATAATTGTAATCAATAAAAAATATAAGCAGAAAACTATTCAGAGTAAACAATTTTATGAAGCAAATAGAGAAAAAAAAATTTCTGCAACTACAACCTGAATTAAATTATTTTTTTTTTTTTTTTTTTAATTTACTTTTTTTATTTACTTTTTAATTTAGTTTATTTTTAATCACTATAGTTTTTACAACATTTTTTAGCTCATAAAACCATGACAGGGCAAACAAGAAGCCAATATACTATTTTCTTGACTTGATATCTTATCTCTTTAATATTATTTACATATTTTTTCAGTCATTATCAATAATACTTCCACGTTCAGAATTTGTTAGTTTCTCATAGTTTCAATTAAAGTATATATAAATCAAGCTAAATTGAAGATAGTATTTTGTTTGAGATGTGTAAAAGCTTTGAAAATAAGACTTTAAAAATAAAACTTTTTCAGTAATGCCTAGGTCAAGTATGTTTTTTTTGTAACGCGTTTTAAATGTGTAATCAAACTTATCGTTTTATTTTATTTCTAAAGATTGAGTCCGCCAAGAGTAATTGAGAGCGACAGAGGATTAGTCGCTTTAAAATTGTAGCGTTTAGTTTTACTCATACAAAAAAAATATTTTTTGAGTAAACTTTGAAGTTGTTTTTCAATAATAAAATTTGCATAAAACCTTGAAAAAATCAAACCAGATGCTTGTTGTACACTTTTTTTTTTTTTTTTTTGTAGTTATTGTTGTTTATGACCTTTTTTGTATTTATACACCTTGAAGTATATATACAAAAGAAAATTATTCCCTTTTTTTAAATCTGTTTTAATTAAAATTGTTAATATTTTTTATAATATATATTCTATTTATTGCATTATTATCAAAAATATCATTGGTGTTAGCGATATATTATATATTACTTTAGTATCAAATGACACGTTAATAAACAATAAAAAATTTATTATTTTGTAATAAAAGCTTATTATCATGTAACAATTTTTTTTTTGCCCATATCTATGAACATATTTATCTAAAAGATTGATTATGTTATCATTTAAAAGTCCAACCTTTTTTCTTTGAATTTTGTCTTTAATAAGTATAAGAAATCAGCTTTGTAAAAGATTCTTTGCCAAAAAATAATAAGTCTCTGAATGAAAAACCAGGTGAGTACCAGGTGCAAATTGTGAAAATTAAAATATATTTGACTAGTAAAACACTTTTGAATAATTTTCTCCTCAGTCCTCCCTAATTATTTTTAATTTTAAAATATAAATAAGCAGTTAATATAAATATGATTTTTCTTTTAATTTTTTGTGTCATTCGAAAAACATTTTAACATTTATTATCAATCGGCTTCATGCTCTTTAACACTTTTCTTTACTTTCTAGTAACTCTCTACTTAAATTTCTTTGTAGCCATGTAGCCTTAAAATAATTTTTCTAAATTTCTTTAAATTTTCTTCAAATTTACTACAAAGTAGTTTTAGAACATATGTAGCTTTTAGAGTGAAATTAAATCTTATAAAGTTAAGATTTTCGTTCGATCAGATTTTTAGTTAATGTGAAAATAATTTTAAGTTTAAAACTATTTACTGAAATATTTTAGTAAATTTTTTTGTTTTAGTCAGATAATTGTTAAAATGATAATAAGTTGTAATAATAGCAAAAGATGCAATATATACCACAATGCAAGATGCAATAATATACCATCTGTTTGGTGTCGTGGGGAAGAGGGGTCGAAAGAATGAGTAGGACAGAATGAAAAGAATAACAATAGCTAGAGTTGAGAGGGTACAATCACACTTAAAAAATATTCTTTAAAGATTGCACATATGAATATCATACTTTGTCGATGCTTTAAATAAATTTTACCATAAATATTACATTCACAGGCACTAAACATTATTAAATTTGAATTAACTAAGTTTATTTGTAAAAAAAGTTAATTTTAATAAAATGAGTAACATTTGATATACTGCGATGGTTTAGTTGGATAAAAATATAATTTATATAGTAAAATACATATCACCATAAACAAGAATTATGGAAAAAAATGTTTTAGTTTATATTTTATTGAAGCAAAATTTAATGCTCTTAGCAAATCTACGTTCAGTTGAAATAAATGCTACTTAGATTGACGCTTGTTATTATAGATCGCAAATAATTTTTGGTAATCTTCAGTCTCCAAAACATTTCTCAGCAGTAGCAGATCTAACAGCAAGAGTAAAGTTGATTGAAAAAGATATAGACATTTTAGGTAACCATTGTTTCATCTATTTCTTAATCAAGAATTTCAATTTATGTTTCATTTGTAGGTGAATCGTTAAGGTATATCTCATTAACGGCTGATTGATGCATTTATATTCATGAAAGTCACAATTTACCACTCCTGCTTAAATGTGTAATCAGCAGCCGTAGCGCAGTGGTTAGAGTTCTGACTCAGAACCAAGGATCCGGGGTCTGACGACAGCTCTAGCTTACTAAGAGTTTCTAGTTAAATGCTTTTCCGCGGTGCTCTATGATAAGATCGTATATTCTTCCGGGAGTACCTTAATAAATACAAAAAGAAAAAAAAATGCTGTTACTATAAATTTCGCATAAACTTCTTAACTAATCTGTCTTTTGCCTTGATCCATCAAATTATCACCAGATAGTTTTGACGGATCAAGGCAACCAAAATATGTAAGTGTGCTATTTAAGTCATGAAATTGTTTATCTATTTGGATTTTATTTTGACTACGTATGATGACTACGAATTTAAATCATTGAAGTAATTATTTAAAGCTTGTAGTTTGATCATCGAGCCATTTATCTTTCCAAAGTTCTTCTGTTATGCGTTTCCTTTTTGAAACTCGCCCTGGTTTAAATTCAGCTTCTACATTTAGTTTAGTACATTTTTGTTTTTTCATAAAAGATTTTGGAAATAAAATGTCTGTATCTTTGAATTGCAATTAGGATTAACTGCCTTACAGTTAATCCTAATTTAACCTTTTAACAGATATATTATTTCTAAAATCAACAAACCCTTTTTCTTTGAACATCAACCAGTTATTTTGCAAACTGAACAGATTTTGCAAAAGCACCATCAGAAAAAATAATATATTTTTATTAAAACTGATAGTTCAGTAATCCCTACTATAATGTAATCGTGGAAGTTCTTTGGGTTAAGTAACATAATCAAATACAAAATTCTAACATGTCTATCAGTATCAAACAGTTGTTTCACAGAGTGTACTATTGGTTCATGCAAATTTTTCTGATGTGATAAAGCAATAGGCTGAGTTAAATTTATCTGAGCCTAAGAAACAAAATAAATTAGTTTAAAATTCTAAATAGTTTTTTAAGTTTTGCTAGTTTTTACAGTCAAAAAGACCTAGAAGGTTAAAAACAAAAAATTGTTCTTTAAATTATCTTCACTCGAGATCATAACAAAGAAGATAAAGTAGGAAAAATATCTAAGAAACTTCAAGCATATTAAACTGCTACAGCTATAAAGAAGACGCAAGACAATATTTCATACTAAAAAAAACAAGTAGCATTTTTTGTATTTTAAAATGTAAAAACGACATTTAATAATACTAAGCTATGTTAAAATCCATCTTGAAGCTACCAATATTTTTGCATGTCTTTCTACACTTATTTGAATTTGTCGTGTTTTAACTTTATTAAGTTGGTTTGTCTTTTTTTTTTTAAAAAATTAAAAAAACCTAAAAATTATTACTTCTAGTAATTCTATTAACAAATGACAATAATAGATAACTTTACTAACAGATGCTAATGACAATAACAGATATCTGTTCATGATATTAACAGATGATAGATATTATTTATGACAATGCACGATATTTTTGATATTAATAATATTCCATTAAATTTTCAGAACATTTTGGTTTTTAGGTATCATTGCAGCAACAAAGCCTTGGAAAGGGGTCGCATAACACCCGTGAAATGTTTTTGATATAGGAAGACGGCTATTTAGTACTAACAATCGGAATTTGATTAAACTTTTACAGGACCCTCAATTAAACACAAATAGTATATTAGTTAAGAATAACACATTTATAAAGTTAAAAAAATTTTAAAAATTATTGTTGATTTCAAAAATGTATATTAGTATATTTGTATTTACAAGCTAAAATTGGTTCTTAAAAGCACGAATAGTGGAATAAATGACATAGGTAAGTAAATGACATTTGGATTGATAAATTTTTTACTATCAGCCGTTTAATAAATTTGTTGTTAAAGCTTATTAATGAGTAAAAAAAAGTAAGCTCAATATTTTTTATAATTGCACCATTTTATATTTCTTGCCTATATGGAAAGTATTACAGCTGCGCTACTGTTGCGGATTTACTAATGTGCGTAAGCAGACTCTCGGCAATAGAAGCAATTATTGTCTCTATCTTTTGGAATATTTTATAGGTTTGCATAATTGTTCAACTGCACAAAAAACATTTTTTTCTTTTGATTACTAACCAGATAACTCGTAAGCAGTGGTTAGAGTTTTAGCTTCGGGTCCTAAAGGTCCAAAAAATAACAAAATAAACCCTTCTCTTTTCCCTTGCCTTATTCCTTTTCTTTTGACCGTTTTTTATTCTTGCTACTTTAAACATAAAAACAACAAAATAAACTCTTTTCTTTTGACCGCCAATTTTGACATCCCACTTTAAAGATAAAAATGAATTTTAATCAAAATAAAATATTATGTAAAATTTTAATCAATATAAAATACTATATAAAATTTGTGAACTTTTTCAAATTCTATTGTCAATAAAAAAAATTAAATACTTTTCTTTCAAATAAATCAGCTATATCTTTTAATTATTCGTTTTTCAGTTGACTTTTCTCTCAACTCAAGAGTTGTTACTGATTATTTGAGTTACAGAAAATGAACTAATAGTTAACTAACTTCATACTCACATTGAGTATTCTTCTGATATAATAACTACAGGTACAGATGAGTGGTGTAAAATATATTTACTGGTACTTCCTAATGTCAATCTTGATAGAGTACTTAAGTTACGCTTACCAACAATAATAACATCAGCGGCATGTTTCGAAGCTACATCGCAAATCGAACTTCCTGTACAGTTACTGTAATTTTCAATAACAGTTAAACACTTAATCTCATTTTCCTCACAAATTGTCTCATACGCCGCAACAACTTCTTTAGCTTTTTGTGCACTTTTATGAAACTTTTTGAGTTCTTGTTCGGGATTAATATTTGAAATTTTAGACATCTTAAGAATATGAACAAGTAAAACAGTATCTTCTGGTCTGTGATAATTTGCAACATACCAATTAAAAGCATTCCTGCAAGCATTACTTTTATCAATTGCTACACAATTGTTTCTTGTGCAACCCATCGTAATTCAGTTCTATAAAAATGATTTTATTAACAATAAGGAAAAAATATAGTTTACAAAAACATTTTCACAAAATATTTTATTATATAAATATTTTACAAGAGTGTGTGTGTGTGTGTGTGTGTGTGTGTGTGTGTGTGTGTGTGTGTGTGTGTGTGTGTGTGTGTGTGTGTGTGTGTGTGTAAGATTATATAGATATTTTACAAAAACATTTTTATTTATAAAAGCAAAGTAAAAATTTTTTATCAGAGTTTTAACTTTTTTAAATCTTGAAAAGAACGATTCTACTCAACATAACTGTAACTTAGGAATTTTAGAGAACATAATACATATTATAACTATTGCTAGGTTGCCACTTATATATTAACTAAATATTGTATGAATTAAAAAAAATTTATAATTAAGCCCTCCAACACCAGCTTTTTTAGATAGAAAGGAAAAAACCTTTTTAACAGTGCTTGGTAACTTTCAGGTGTAAAGCGAACTTTAAATTTGGTATGTTTATGCTTATATCAAACAAAGAAGCAAAAATATTCACAAAGATTAGAGATAACAAATAAACTTCAAAACTTGTAAAGCGCCTCCCCTCTCCCACCACAAATTTAATGAAAATCTTTATTAGTATTTTAAATATATTAATAGATTTTAAATTTTATCAAATAACATTTTATTGTTCAAAAATTATGACCAAGTTTCCCCTCTCCATATTGAGAGGGTAGTACTCTTCATGGTAATAACTTTTGAACATTAAAATATTATTAGATCAAATTTAAATGTCACAAAACACCAAGAAAAGCTGCCAGTATTATATAATACTACAAATTTGTAATACTATAAATTTACCAATTTAAAAAAAATTTCAAAAATTGATAAAAATATTAATTTTATAGTTTGTCTGGTCATTGACACAATATTAATATTTAAAATAAAAGTTTTGTTTAGAACTGGTTTTGGCATTTGATTTTTAAAATTACAATCAAAATTTTTTTATGTAAATGTACTTTGTATGATGCATGCACTTTTAAATAAAAAGTATTATGCATCACTTTATACACAGGACATCATATTTATATTATAATACAAATATAAATTTGTATAATAATATAATCATTATATAAATTATTATATTAATATAAAAATAATACAATCATTTATATAATGATTATACTATTTGTATAATAATATAATCATTATATAATGATTAAAAAAACCCCAAACCGAATCCTCAGTTGATGTAGCGGCACTTCCTTGTAGTAGCAGGTTATAAGATAGTATATATATATATATATATATATATATATATATATATATATATATATATATATATATATATATATACACATATATATATACATATATATATATATATATATATATATATATATATATATATATATAATATATATATATATATATATATATATATATATATATATATATATATATATATATATATATATATATATATATATATTAGTGTGGGTCATAAAACAACATTTTTTTGAAAATGTCGGCTGGTACCCCCTAAATGTGTTTTATGTAATAAATTAGTACTAAATCTAAAACAATTTTGAATAAAAACTTTTTTTAGGGGTCACTCAAGAGCCTTAAACATCAGACAGGTCCCTTATGTTCAGAAAAAAAAAGTTATTCAAAAGCATACTATGTTGGGTCGCAAAAGTAGCAAAATGTTATAAAACATCCAAAAACAACAACCATTTTATATAAAGATCACTGTCGTTTTTAAACAAAAAATAAAAAAGTACATATTTTTATAGTTTTATAAAATGAATTTCTTTAATTTGTGTTTCCATAATTTTTTTTTTTTTAATTTTTGAAATTTCACTTCTTTTAAGGCCCAACATGATATGCTTTTGAAGAACTTTTTTTTTTCAGAATATTAGGGAACCGTCTGATGTTTAAATACATACATACATATATATATATATATATATATATATATATATATATATATATATATATATATATATATATATATATATATATATATATATATATATATATATATTAATAAATCAGAACCATCATGATCACCCTCCTACTAGTAACATGTATTTATGTGCAACTTACCACAGATCTTACCGGACTCACCTTTTAGGCAAATACTTGAAAAAAATAACTCTGACTTAAAATATACTTTTACATTTAGGCTCTTGATTAAATTTAAGATTATTGGCTAGAGATAAGTATCAACAAAAATACTTAACTTTGCAAATGTAAACTGCATCAAACTAATAACAGGTAGAAAACCTCTAAAGCAAAATATAAGTAAACAGAAATACTCTGTTGCAACTCTTCTTTATTTAATAGGCTAGTACCTTAATTAGGTGGTGCAGATGGAAATCTGTTGTGAACTGTTTCCTGCCTAAAATGATGTATACTTAATCTACTTGACCACTTGTAGTTTTTTTTTGAAGTATCGGTTTTTGAAGTAACTATTAATCAAAAGAACCTCACATTATGCAAAATTTTCCAGACAATTTTTGTGAGACTGCTTTAATTTTTAGATCTCAGTGTTGATGACTACTATATTTAGATTTACATAACATAATACTGTCTAAAGATTAAAGACTGAATAACCCATATTTAAAATATTTATGTATGTATATTAAAGTTTAAAATTTGTAGTTAATGATTTAAACATATTATTAGAATTATAAATTAATTTATATTAACTAATAAGTGATTAACATATTCTATTCATTTACATTGACCATTTATAACTAAATTCATTTTATTTTAAATAAACCATTAAAGGAAATTTTTTATTTACTGCACCTTTCATCCACAACATCTGTATCAGCTAGATTTGACAACATTTCTGAAATGTTTCAAGTAAAAAAAAAAAATCACTATTTTCTCAAAATTTCAAAACTAGATTTAAAACATTATTTTTAGGTTGAAAAAATTTCAAAAAATCAAACTTGTATCTTATTACTATAAGATGCATTTATATTTATAATATAAGCTGTTTTTGAAAATCTTCAAAATTAAATTACCAAAACAATTCAATATTATTATTCTAAACTTAATGTAAATAAAAATAGCATCTAATTAAATTCAAATTTCTATTTGTTAAATTCAAACAAATATTTATTTTGTTTTGCCAAAAAAAAACTTTCATATCATATACTTTACATCTATATATGGGGCAGGTTAGGCTCCTCACCTGTGGTAAAGACAACTTGTGGTAAAGACATCCAAGAGAAGTACCTGTGGTAAAGACAACTTATCCAAGAGAAGGAAAAATCTAATATATAACCAAAAGAGTAAGAAAAGCACATAAACTTTTGACACTAAGAAGGTTATCGACTACCTTATAGCAGATTTACATAATTAGGTGCTATATATAACAGATACTTTACATAGTCTTTGCAAAAGATGAATGCATTTTTTAATGGTAAAAAAGTAAAAAGTAAAGAAAAAGGATAAGCATCTTTCCTGATAATGCAATTTACTTAGCAATTATCTGAAACTAATTAACAATTATCTAAAAAATCATTTTAAAGAAACAAAAACAAAATTAAAGAAAAAGAAAAACCAAATAAATTAAAAAAGAATTTCAAATTAAAAAAGAGAACACTAACATAAACTTAAAGAGAGAAAAAGTAAAATGAAGAAAAAAGAAGGAAACAAATAAAAAAAAAAAAGGAGGAAAAGCAAACTAATAAACAGAAAGAAAAAAAAATTAAAAGATTAGTTGTTCTACTTTTTTTTCCACATTTGAACAATACAAACCAAATGTTAATTCTGTAGACATGGTTTAAAAGTGATTCAGTGGTAAACATTGAAGGTTACCATCTGTACAAGGCAGTAGCCTTTTTGTTCATCCATTTTGTTTATATATAAACAACTCATTAGTCTCCTATGAAATAAATGATGCTGCTCTAAATCCCTATAAACTAGAACAAGTGTGGGCAGTTATTTATTTTGATAATGACAAGTATTTACTTTGATGTATCTACAGGCTAAATAATTTTTTAGATATTACAGAATTTGATTTAGTTCTCGGCCTGGCATGCGAATATACAAACAAAAATAAGTTCAAAGACTTAATGATCATGGGCAACTTCAACTTCCCATCAATTAGCTGGTCAAATGGCTGTAATGATGCAATTTAAAATGAGAATGAAATATAAATTTACAGACATTTTAAATGACAATATTCTTTATCAGCATATTAAGATATCAACTTTCTAGCTGTCAGATAAACAACTTATTAATACCTTAGATTTGGTCTTTACAACTCAGTCAGCAAGTGCTAATGAAATAAATTCAAAATTTGTTTTTGGAAATATAAACAGAGACCCTCAAACAATATGTTTCCGCTTCATCTTGTCTTATTAAGCAATCTGTGACAATAAAAACAAGTAAAGATTTATGTTTGCTAATTCTCATATCTGATCTAATTTCATATATTGACTGGATAAAATACTCCAGTAATGGATAGAAGATGATGGTCTAATGTCTTCCTTTGATTTAAGAACTACTGAAGCATTCATTTTGAAAAATGAAACCAGCAAACTGCCAGAGCAATTTAGATCAGTAAATATCACTCCTCTGTACAAAAAAGGCAAAAAAACCTTAGCAGGAAACTACCAACCTGTATCACTCACTTTAATTGCATGTAAAACAATGGAAGGCATAATCAGATGTAAACTTGAAACGTTTTTTATACAAGTTCAAATTAATTGTCAAGCAACAGCACAGTTTTGTTAAAAATAAATCATGCTCAACAAATCTACTTAAAACACTTGATTTTATTTTAACTGCCTTAGAGAATGGTAAACTTATTGATGTTATTTTAGATAACATCAATGAGTTTGGATTTCGCCAGGGCATTTGATACAGTGCCACATTAATTATTGCTTAAACTAACAGCTTATATATTATCTGGTCTGACAATATAATGGATTGAAGTCTTTTTAAAAGGAAAAAAACAAAGAGTTGTGATACTGGTGAAATTGAATCCTCTTAGGCAGAAATTACCAGTGATGTACCACAGGAGTCAGTAATTGGGCCACTCTTGTTTGTGCTATTTATAAACAATTTGCCTGAAACTCTAAAAAATCCGTTCCTATGCATCAACTCTTAATTACAATCAGATTTCGATTTAGCTTTTAAATGCACTCAAGACTGCCTTGTGAAATTTAATATTTCGAAATGTATAGTTATGCACTTTGGCCAAAATAACAAAAAATTACCCCTTTATATCAATGAACAAAAAATTAAACTTAACAGAATATGAAAATGATTTTCAAATTTTAGATAACTTCTCAAGCAATCTGAAATGGAAAAACCATATAATAAAATGCTTAGGCAAGGCCAACCAAATGTTGGGTTGGATTAGAAAAAGCTTTGTTTGTTTAGGTATTAGATTGCTGAAAATACTTTATGTTTTTTTTGTTCGATCACTGTTACAGTTTGCAGTACCAGTTTGGTCATCTATTTGAAAGGGTGAAACTAATTTATTAGATTGAGTCTAACATCATGCAACTCAATACCATCACTCAAGAAAACCAACTATGAAAAGTGTCTAAAAGCTCTCGACAAAGAAGATTCATAATTTAACTTTTTAAATTCTTTAGCGGTTTCAACAATTTGAAAACAATCAAAAAAATTAGATTTGAAAAAGCTCAAATGAGAGTCGGGACTTTAGATAAGTCAAAGAAATCACTAAACAAGCGCTTTGTGAAACATTTTATTTAATAGATCTACCAACTTATGTAATAGCTTGCCAAGCGAGTTGGTTAACACATAATTAGTTAACAGTTCTAAAGCAGGTCTTTTCTTGATTGCTGGATGACCAGCAATCAAACAAATCAGCTTTACTAGTAATAATACTAACACATTAATTTGTAATCATTAATTTTTTTGAACAATTTTTATTATTATTCTTCTTTGTTTTTTTTTTTTTAATATTATATTTCTAATTTTTTATTGTTGATTATTTAGTTTCTCTTTATTGTTAATTTTTCAATTTTGCTATAAACTATTACTAATAGATATATTACTAATAGATATATTTTCTTTATTGTTACTTTTATTTAATAGTTTACATCTTTATTTACAACTTTAATAAAATATAATATTATCAAAATAATTTCTAAGCAATTGTTATATTGTATTGTTTTTATATGTCTGTATTTAATCTTGTAACTTAATCTTTATTATCAAAAATAGAACAATTGTTAATTTTGTTTTTTTGTTCTTTTTTCTTCATTTTGAAAATTTATCTTCAACAACTGACACTACCTGTTAAATTAATTTTTTTTAAATATTTGGACTTGGTTTTTTACAGTACTTTTCTTTATTTTATTTCTATTTATTCACACTTCAGTCATCAACAACTCGTTAATAAAGCATGTACATATAAATATTTTGCCTATGAGGTCACAGCTCTTAAACTCCACTGCAACTATGCCATAAAAATACGACTGATAGCCAAAAAATCATCCAGTGTGCTCTTTGTAACTTACGATTTCATGTTAAACGCAATGATATTAATGCATACCATTATAATTTTTTTAAATGACAATTTAAATTTAAATTTATATTGCTATTAACATCACTGCTTATCTAAGAGTATGGTCTTTAGCTAATTTTCTGACTTGTAGTTATAAAAGAATATATATAGTAATGAAAAATATAAACATATTTATGGCCCACTTTATTTGCATTTCTAGCACACTAACCTACCCCAAAAAAACTACATTATACATTAATGAACAAATATTTATTGAGAAATTTATAATAAACTTTCTAATAAACTGAAGCTCTCCATTAAAAAACATGATGATGTTAATCATTTCATCCATTTCTTTTTAAATAAGATTTGAGAAAATTTTAGAACAACATACTCTTTACAAAATGCAAACTAACTAACAAATTAAACATACTCAAATTTATTTCTAGAAAAAAGAATTTATAAAAGTCAAACATATATGCTAAAAATAAATTATTCTTAAAATTAAAATTTTATAGAAACATACTACATACATATTGAACAATATTAAAAATACTCAAAAAATAATAAAGAAAATCATTAACATCAGACATTCTTTAGACAGTAGATTTTTTAAGCTTAAACTAAATGAAAATAGTATTACTTAATATATTTAACAACCTTTTTAGTTCTATCCAAAACAAACTTACCTAAGCCATACCCCAAAACACATTTTAAATGACTTTGCAAACATTCCTAAATCTAATTAGTTGTTCATTATTCCTGCAACTGAAGAAAAATATCTTATCTATCTAAAAATGTTTTAAAAAGGCATGGTTTAAATAGCCTAACTATGTTTTTCTCATAAATTTATTTCACACATTGTTTCTTTATGCTATTAGATCATTTAAAAATGGTATTCCTTTTGATTTTTTAAAAAAGTTTTTTTTATTATCTTCACTAATAACTAACCTATCACTCTTTTTTGCAATGCAGGCTTTTAGCATTCCTGGAAAAATTTAAGCGACTTCATTATGGATTTTGAGGCAATCACTCAACAATTCACAATACACTTATGAGATCACCAAATCAATTAAAAAAACTCTTGATAATAAATATTTTGTATGTGATGTACTTGTTGTTTTCCAAAAAGCTTTTGATACAGTAGATCACTTAGTTTTCAACAGTAATTTACTATTGAAAGCAACCTTCCTTATAAAAAATCCTCAATTTTTTTTCAACTTTCAAACAGTTTAACTATAAATCATATTTTATTAGTATATATAAATATTTATATATTCATATATTATATATTTATATGCATATACTAAATATTTATTTAATATTTTATTGGTGTATATGAATATTTTTATTGAAAAAGTTTGTTTTTAGATTCAAAAGTAATTAAAGTCTTTTTATATTTAAAGGCTTCAGTTATACTTCAGTTAATTATTCTTATTTCTATAATCTTTTGTTTTATGATTTCTTATTTATAATTAATACTGTTTTCATTTATTAAAAAAATTGTTATAAACTTCAATTGGGTGATTGGATGCTTGCTTTAAATTAGTACATATACAAGAAATAAATATCCATGAGTTGTAACGACAATTTCAAAAATACATTATTTAATCTAAAATTAAATTAAACTACTGCCACAACCATATGATATAATACTAAAACAATCTTGTAGCTTAATAAGACGCTAATTAACATTTTTACCCCCTTTAAATAAAGTATTAAAAAATTACACCAATAACGCCATATTTTTAAAACACGACCAGTTTATATTAGGTAATATTAGTAAATTAGCATTAGAAATAATAATAGCCCGGTTTTTATTTTGATCCAACAATACTTTTTATAATTGTTTTGTAATTCCGTTTTATAAAAGTAATTTTTTTTTATTAAAAAATTTATTTTGCAAAAAAATTTTGTTTGAGAATTAAGTTTTTTTTTGTTAATTCTATCAAACTTTGTTTGATGGAATTAACGAAAAAGAAAGCTTGTTCTGTGTTTGTAGGACGTCATGCAATATGCAAGGAGTGTACATACATCTGACTTACATTGACTACATCTGACTACATCGACTGATTTAAATCAGGAAAACATACTGGGGTGTACATACATTAGGGAAAGGGCTAGGGTTACCATTAAGATTGCCTACCCTTACCCAAAGGGAAACTTTATCAAACCTTAAGTCAATTTGTGTACGCCTTTTTGGTGTACACTTCTTCGTTTTTTGGTGTAATTTTTTAGCACTTTAATATCAAATTAGAGAACTTTTTTTCGATTTTCAGATCTAGGATTTTATTAGAGCATAAAATCATAATCATTAATAAAAATGGAGAGGCAATAATGTAAATTAGCGCCACATAATAATAAACATATTTGATGTTTGATTATTTACAAAACATTTATTCGTGTTTATATAACAGAAAATGTTAATAAAAAAAAAAAAAAACACCAGCATACAAAATTAAACTTAGTCGAGTGGTATTTTGCTCGATGGCAACAGTGTGAATAGGTCACAAGTTTAAATATGACAGGAAGATTATGAACAATAGAATTAGAATTCACCGCAAATACAATGGCATCATTTTGGAAGTATTTGTCATATTTATGACAAATAGTTTTAAAGTGACGCAAAAAGATACTTATTTTTTATCCTCGATTTTAGCTGGACGTGTTTGGCATTAGAGGCAGAGTGCTCACAGTTTTTGTTTTTCTCTGAACACATGTATTGTCATTCGTTTCTGTGGTTTTCACTTAAGAAAACCGGAAAACTGGAAAACCGAAAACCGGTTCTGTTGCTGCTAGATGCGTTTTAAATATTGTTAATATGTTTTGTACCATTTAGAAAATATTCTTTGTTACATAACTCCTAGAATGAAAAATCTTTTTTTCCATGATAGGCTGTGGAGGTTTTTTATTTTGATAAAATTGTTTTCAGTGAATGTAAATATTTGTTTTAATTAAGGTAAAAACTACTTTTATTTACAATAAAACAAAATATCTTAGAGATTTGGTTATTTCTTAAATTATTTAAAAATAAAATATTTTTAAAGAATCTGCTTATAAGTTGTCAACGCAAAATCTTTTAACAATTTTAAAAATCTTTGAACAAATTTAAAACATTTATGATAAATTGTAGTGACCTAAACAAATACCGCTAAAAATAGTAAAATCTGTCAAAACATTCAACTAATATCTGATTATTAATTAGATATATGAGGACTAATAAAAAATTATTGAATTGAAACAGAATTTTTGACTACGTCAATAGTAGTATAGTAACAGAAAATCCGTTCTTTTGAAATCTTTTTTTATAACTTTTTATTATATAATTTTTATTTATAACTTTTTATTATATAATTTTTATTATATATCTTTAATTATGCAAGAAAGTTATCTTTTATGAAAGAAGATTATCTTTATTTTTTAAACTTTATTTTTATTTTTTTTTATCTTTTGTCTAATGAACTAAAGCCTAAACAGAAGTCAAGAATATAAAAAAATATAAAATATTTTTTTATATTCTTGACTTGCATATAAAAAAAGATCATTGCAAATCAAGGCCTTCTTAAACAGGCCGCGACAGCTCATTTTCCGTAAAATTAGCGAAGGCCGACTTTTTTACGGAGAAGTATAGTTTCAATGAGGATTTTGGTTGTGTTTAGATCATATCCCATTCGGAACGATTATTTTTTACTTGCGTATTTTGCCGAACATTATTTAAAAAAATTTGCGGAGCAATATTAATAACAACACACGTGCCATATATTATTGTTTGTTACTTAAAATTGCTTTATTACGTGGTCTTTATTTTGTTAACTTTATTGATTTTACAATGGGTTATTGTATTAATTCATGGATGTAATAGTTCTTAAAGGTTAGTGTTTCTTTCATATGCATAATTCTTAACAATATAATAGCAATAGTTTTATATATATATATATATATATATATATATATATATATATATATATATATATATATATATATATATATATATATATATATATATATATATTCATATATTTATATAATTTTTAAATGAATAACAATTTAAAAAAAATTTTTTTAACAACATCTTTTATCAACATTAATTGATATCATCAGGTAGAAAAAAATTACAATTTCTATATATAAACAATTTATTTGGCTGCATTAAAAATTTAATATTTTTACAATTGTTACCATAATTACTTTTTATAAGATAAGTAATTACCATGAAGAAACTCTGACAATAATAGAAAAAGAGTCAGTTGAGCTTTTGCATTTTTGCGTTGAAGTAAGATGTTTGTAAATATAGGATGCCTGATTTAAATTTAAATGTTCTGAAACCGTTGTTGCCTAGTGTCTGGTGTTTTCACCAATATATCCAGCATTACAGCTGGAGCAAACAAATTTATAGACAGCAAAGGTTTTTAAATTTGGGGGTTAGGGGTCTTTGATGAAATCATACTACTTATTTTAAAAGTTGTAAAAACTTGTCTTGCTTTTATATTATCTTTACAATATTTTAAATGTATTTAATTAATTGATGTTAAAATGTATTTGAAAATTTTCCAATATAAGGGAGTTTAAAGTAATGTATATCAGATGGTTTTGGAGATGACATGTTTTCTTTAGGAGAGATGAGATTGTTTAGTCAATTTTTGAAGGTTTTGTCAATTAAGTTGAAGGCAAAAGAGTTTTTTTGGAGAGTTCATTTAATTTTTACAATTTCTAGATGAAAACTTGCTGTTTTTTGAAGGCCCTATTGATCAGAGTTTTAATGAATCCTTGTTCATAATTAATATTAGTGAAGCTTTTAAAATTAGTTTGTAAAACTGTGTATTTTTTTTGAAAAATTTTGAAGTATTAAATTTATAATTTACAGAGTTAATAATAATATCAATAAAGTTCAATTTGTGATCAATCTCTTTCTCTTTATTAAGTTTGGGGTAACTTAATAAACTTAAGAACAGTCACAGTAAAGGGATGAGACTTCATTGACACATAAATTCATGATAATGAATTTTAGTAGATGGCACAAGAGACACTAGGGTTATCATAGTATTTGTAGAAAAGAGAAAGAGAAGCAACATTAAGATGTGACAATGTTTGGAGATTGGCTGCAAGAACAGGTCCAACTATGTTTACGATTATGCACTTTATCAAAAAGAGAAAGAGCATCATTGGAAGATTCACTCAAGATATGGCAACTATTTCATAAAAGTATGACAGAATCAATAGTAAGAATGTGACAAGCCTGATAAGGAGATGCATGCTATTTTATTTTGAAATGGATTTGATATATGGTTTCTGAGAATGATCAGAGGTAAGAGTTAATTCTAGGAGCCAAAGTGTAGATGATTCATAAAGTATATTACCGTTCATAAAAATAGAAAGATCTCGATTATCGTGATAACGATTAGCTAAAAACTATTAAGTCTTATTTGAGTTAAAGTTCATTAGCCATTCAAAGCCTATATATATATATATATATATATATATATATATATATATATATATATATATATATATATATATATATATATATATATATCACCGTTCTCCTAAATGAGCAATTAGTGTCAACTCAAATTCCAAAGAAACCACAATATGCCTGTGATTCTCCTGGATTCCAAAAATATAAAAAATCAAAACATCCTATTATGTCCGAGAAAGAAAATTACTTTTGAAAATTTTTATTTTGCACATATTCATGAAATGACAGCATTCTCGGAATTTTACATTTTTTCAGCATATCTTAACATTCAAAAAGCTCTTTGAAAATAATAAAACCTACTTAACATAATAAAGAAACAAAAAATATGAAAATGTGAAAGATGAAGTCCTTAACATGAAAAAACACTGCATGTACTTTTGGAGTGATGCTTCCTCTTGGCAATGCCAAATATGAATCTCTGAATGAATCAATTTTTTCTGTCTGTTAAAATCTTGAACAGATGGTTAACAACCCCAAGCAGTAGATGAAGCTCCATTGGTGGAATGAGATCAAGCACAAGTGCATCATTATCAAGTGAGAGAATAGGGTCGTGAATTACGTTTCCAAACAATTTTGTTTTCTTGATATCGGATCCAGCTGCTGTGTATGTTTTGTGTGCTTGCTTCAAAGATCTAAAAGTTCTCAGAGTACCCCGGTTTGCAAGG